TGACTTGTTTTCGCGTCGAAGCTGGCCGACTGCGGATCTTCAGAGGCCTTGAGCAAGGCCGCCAGCTCCTTGTTGTGCTGTGCTAGCTGATGGCAAAGWATGTAAATGTTATGRCCCACTTCGCGGGGACTGACCGTTGCATCGTCGTCATCTGTGGCGGCACTCGGCTCATCTCCATCATCCTGCTCRTCAATGAGTTCTTCCTGGTGATARGCYTTGCAGGCTACCTCGACCAGTTGCTTGGGATTCATGTTGTAGAGTATGCGCTCCGCATTCTCACTGTCGCCACGACTCTCCATAATGGCCAGCAGCAGTTTGGAGGCATTGTTCTTCAGCTCCAGCACCAGATCCATGCGATTCTCCCCCAACGGATTTATGTTGTTCAATATCAAAGCGGTGATGATATCCAAACCGTTCGACTCGTGGGTGGCAATGCAGTTCTGGTTCTCGTGGCACGGCCCCTGGCAATACTCGGTGAGTGTCTCCAGAGTTTGATTAATCAACGCCACATTGTGCTCGTTGATGTAGAGGCCGAGTAGACCCAGGCCGCCCGTGGTAGAGCCGCAGATGCAGTCGAGGAACATGAGTGTTTCGGACACGAGATTATTGTTGGTTTTGTTGTTCTGATTCCGCAGCAGATTCTGCAGATCTGGATTGTGGTTCTCACAAAGCAATTGCAGAAAGCGTAGAATGGGCTGCATGACGAGCACCTTGTTCGACAGCTGGTTGCGCTGCTCCTTGCTGTCTCGATGCTTCTCCAACTTCTCGGCCAGTATGTCCTCCAGCGGGCTATTCACACTGATCGCTGAGCTCTCCTCGCCCGAGTGTATGTTCCGCGCGTTGCCGTAGGCGCGTGCTGTGGCCAGGCCTGCATTGTGCAGCTCCCGTTTGAGCTCGTCCGTAATGACGACCCCATTGCTCTTGAGGCCGTGCTTGCGTGAGATTTTGTCTAGCTCCATGTTGGTATCTTGCTTGTGCTCGTGCGCTTTGGCTGCTATATCTGTAGTGTTGACGGAGACCGTCGACTTAATTTCCTGCTGTGCATCCTTCATTTTCTCAAAGAAGACCTTGAAGAACGCTTGATTTAGATCATCGCTGAGGAACTTCTGGAACATGCCCTTCTGTATGATTGGATTTCCGCCCTCGAGCAATGCTATGCCTAGCTCCACGGCCTCCACAAAGATGTTGGGTGAATGCACCGATTTGATGACCAACTCTACTACCAAATCGGAGGCACCCTCGCGATCCAGGTGATTCTGCATTTCGTGCAGCGTCTTGTCCGCACGCGYCAGATACTTGGCCCCAGGTCCGTGGGTCACCAAATGCAATTGCTTGGCCGGGTCGGAGGCGGCCGCCGCRGCCAAAGCTGCAGCAGCCGCCACGCCCGTCGGCAGCTGTGGGTGCTCCTCCTCCAGCTTTGGCGCACTCTTGCACTGGAAGTAGCGCAGCAGAAGTGTTTGACGTAGGGCATCTCCCTTTTCGCCATAGTTGACATCAATAGCCATCATTTCGCGTAGAGTGCGCAACACCTTCACACACATGCGCTCCTCCTTCTCCTCCAGCAACTTCTCTGTGTGCTTGATCAGCTTGCGTATGAAGCCTCCACTCTCGCAGCGCTTACGCGCCTCGGTGCCCGCAGGGAAAAGCAGTTCGGAACGATAAAGTATGTCGACTAGTAATGAAAGCTCCGCCTCGACGACCGGCTTCAGTTGATCCTCCAACAGCGAGACAATGTCCTGCAATCCCTCAATGATGGAGCGATCCCAGCGCATCAGATGGGCCGACTGCTGAGTATCATACTTGGGCTGCTTGGAGGCCAGCAGCCACTTGGTCGTCTGTCGTGTTAGCATTGCAGTTTTGCTAGACATATTAGTYACCTGCTGCTCCAGYTCCAAGGGCAGCACAATGCTGCGCATCTTGGCTGATTCTGTCAGAGTACGGATGCAGTTTTCTACGTTGAAACGATCCGCCAATGATAGCCACTTGCATTGAGTAAGCCGGTAAACGGCCTGCAGTAGTTGCACAAAGATCACCTGCCGCGACTGCACTATTGTGCTCTGGTCGGAGAAGGGGCTGGAGAAGAAGCTGCTCAGCAAATTGGTCACACCATTCAGCACATAGGCCAGCAGTGTCTTGTTAGCGGTGGCTGAGGTGTTTGATATCAACAGRTTAAGGTCCACCAGGAAACTCTTTTCGAACAGACTCCACATGTGACCGGAGGCATAGATCTCTTTCATCTCCACTTCGGTATCAATATAACAATGATTGAGGAAGTCCACATACGCCTCCTTGACCTCGGGAATGCACAACGGATGGCATATGATGGTTACAATGTCGTCCAGCGACAGCAGATTATTGCACTTGATCTCCGTGTAGACGTTCTTGCCCATGGTGCAGCAGGCGAGCAGCTTCACCAATTCCACATGATATTTCAGCGGACTGTCGTCTCTGAGCTGTTGACCACGTTGCTGCTGCTGCTGCTGCATCATTTGCACAAAGTGGTGGAACGAGGTCTTGTCGTTGTAGAACACCAACACGTCTTCGCCGGCATTGATGAGCTCCTGCATGACCATGTCCTGACACTTGCGTATGAACTGGTTCTCTGCTTTGACGATTGTCTGCAGGAACTGCAAATATGCCACATGTCGGCCATGGATCTCGATGCAGTGCACAAAGTGTTGCACCACTTTGTCCGTCACCTCATTGCACAGCGCCAAGTTGTCCTTGAAGATTGCGCAGACTGTTTTCGCCTCGAGAATCTGAGTGGAAAAGATAAAAGATTAGCCACAGGTGCTATCTGAGCAAGGGTTTAGATACTTACGCCTGGATTAAGGAACAAATCAAGATGATTGTGCAGCAGCACTTGATTCTGCTGATTGCCTAGGCAGAAGTTCTGTAGGAAYTCATGCGCCAGGCACATCAGCTCTTTCATCAGCACATCGTCCTTCTCGTCATAGGGATTCTGTAGCAAATCCAGGACAACTGTATGCACGCCTACATTGCGAAGCAGGCGCTGCTCGTGCTTGCGYGGCTTGACAATGGGACCTAAATTRAAATGGACGAGCATGAGTAATTTAAGAGGTAGGAATATTAAGGAGTACGCACCATCCGTAACGCAGAACTTGTTCATGCGAATGAGGATCTCTTTGACCTTTTGATATTC